TGTGCCTGTAGTGGAGTATTCATAAGTCCCTTTTAAGCGCGTGGGTGAGGACCTACAGCCAGGCAACCCGTTCAATATCGGGGCTGCCCTGTAACAATTCCACTCCTAGATATTTACCCAAAGGACACAGAAACATCAGTTCCAAAGAGCACCTGCACCCCTATGTTTATAGCAGCACTATTTACAATAGCTAAGCTTTAGAAACAACCCAAATGCCCAAAAATAGATGACTGGATCAAGAAGATGTGGTACATATACACCATGGAGTATTACTCAGCATTCAAAAAAGATAAACACATGCAATTTGCCCCAACATGGATGGAGCTAGAAGGGATCATGCGAAATAAGCCAGAAAGAAAAAGAAAAATACCGGATGGTCTCAGTGATAGCAGGAATCTAGAAAACCTATAAGGGACCAGGAAAAAAGCTAATTATAATAAAGTAAAAATCAAAATCAACAAACAACTATGAACCAGAGACACACTATGGGGGGTAGGGGGATGGGGAAAGGAGGGATTGGGTTCAAAATAAGGGGGTTGCAATTGTATGGGGAATATAAAAATAAAATTAAAAAAACAACCCAAAAAACAATGACCACCTGTGGAGTTCATGTTCTAGATGAGCTGATTTTACAAAAAGAGGTTGCTGACATCTGTACATGGTCCTTATTTGTGAAGTTTGCTTCCCAGCTGGGATTTTAAAGAACCAATCTATAGGAAATAAGTGTGGACATCCTCCTTACTCCCTCCTGGACCTGGTGTCCGTAGTCAGATATCAGGTACAATGGTGCATGTATGAGTTACAACCTGAAGAACCCTTGTTAGGCCAGGTCTTCAGCAATCCACTACAACGATGCCCTAAGGGGCCCGAGTTACAGGCTCTTCAAGGCTCTGACACATTTACCCCTTCTCTCCCTCCCCCTGTTCTGTAGCCTGTGAGGGAGAGCTGGTTCTCTGGCTTTTAGCCCAATGCTGAGGAGGGACTGAGCTGGCCCATCTGGCTATTTGGGGATCTCTTTCCTTCCACTTCATTCTGAGTTTGGCCTGAAAAGTCTCAAGTTGGCTGCATACATTTTGAACTCCCACAAAAACCATATGGTCTTTTTGATTCAATTATCAATGTTTTTATCAGTAAGTACTTATTGAGCTCTTGCAGTTCTGTGACTCAGTGCCATCACAGCGCTCCACTAAGCAGCTTAGCGAAAAACTCACTGGACCATGAACACACTTTGGGTAGACCCTTCTTTTTCTCTTCTCAGGCTCTTTCCTCTGTCTGGAATCGGCTGACCGAGTTTTCATATTCAACTCAAATATCACCCACTTGGTAGTGTTTGGCCTGGTGGATGTGTGCCTCTTTCCTTTGAACCTCTATTATGCTCCCTTTGACCTTTGTCATTCATTCATTCACTCATTCATTCACTCATCATTCATTCATTCATCATTCATTCATTCATAGAAAGCTTTATTGATGCCCAATATGTTCCAGATTTGGGTTATCAGGGAACTAAACAACAAAGATGTTTCCATGCTCTCATGGAGCTTACATTCTAACTGGGGAAGAGAGCATATATAAAGATCTGATGTGATAAATAGGTCAATTATATAGTATTTTTGAAGGAAATAAATGAAAGGAGAGAAAGAGAAAAAGTAGAGCTTATTTGGATTCATCAAGAGTACAAGGTTGGGACAGGCAAGATGCAATCTGGCCTATTTAGTAGACAAGCCTCAGTGACACTAAAGTTGGCCACATGGTTACAGTAACGTGTGTGTGTGCCTCTCCTAACTTCCCAGCAGAAAGGATGGGCGGGGACTGGGCATCCTCTATGATTTATCTACACTTACACAAAATTCCTTGTGTATGGTTGGTACTCTAGGGATATTTGGTGAAATGAAAGCGAAAGCTTTATAATAAATCTATACTTCAGAATCTGAGATTCTTTCCCTCATTACTGATTTGAGATAGAATTTGTTGCTGGAGGGCCTCCCCGGTGGTGCAGCGGTTGAGTGCTGGGTTGCGAAGCTGCCCGCAGCCTCTGCAGCACCAGTTTGATCCCTGGCCATCAGGCGAGGGTCCCACATGAAGCGCAGACCTCTCCTGCCGCCTGCTGCTCCCTGCAGCAGTGTATTTCGTCAGTCTGCCTGCTCTGTTCCCTGCTCTGGCTCTGGTGAATTTTCTCACCCTCCCACGCTTCTGACTGTACCCAGTGCTTGTATAAATAAATAAATAAATCTTTAAAAAAAAAAAAAAAAAAGAATTTGTCACTGGAACTCAGTGGGCCCAGAAGTTTGGGAAGTGACATGCACTCAGAGGTGATATAGTCAAGAAGCAACCATGTGTAATAGAGAGAATTGGTCTGACTCCTTGCACAGAGCCCATACACAGTTATTTGCTTAAGGAAATAATTCTTGGTCAATGCCTGCTCCACATTTTACATGAAAGACTGCAATTTGAAGATATAAATTTCAATTATATTTACAAGCGCATGGAGGGCCCTACCATAATTGTTTACAGCTTTGGCCAGCTTGTTGCTCTGGAAGAATCATTTTTTAAGTAAGTATCTTTGGGGAATTGAATAGAAGAAAACATTTCAAGAGTATTTTATTGTCAAATTGCCATGGAAAAACTCAAGGGTCTTTTGATAACCTCTGGATTTAATTAGCTTTCAGTTTACAAATATTTATCAAGTGAAATCCCATTTCCCCAATGCAAAGCAATACCTAATGTGGATGTTGAAGATATGGTTGTCACCTTGTAACAGGGTGGTCCCCAGGAAAGGGGGAGGTTCCCTGCCCCACCCAAGGGAGGGTGGAACTGAGTAGAAAGAGAAGAGAAAAGTTGTAGAAGAGACTGAGGAAGGAAACAGGATGGAGCCAGGAGACCTGGAGGAGGCGCGTGGAGCCTAGAGACACGTGAAGAAACTACGCTTGTCTTTTGGTCGTGAACTGGGTGACACAGATGTGGGTGAGACCCGTGGGGAGGTGACCATGGCAGCTTTTATCTTGATGTTGATTTTGCTCTTTTCCTTCCGGGCTTGTCTGGTTGTTTGTGACCCTTTTCTGTGGGTCCCCACTGGAAGATGCTTTAGACTTGTAGCAGGCTTTGGGGCCTTGTTCTGGGCCGATCCCATTTAAATGAAGTTTTACCCACGAGGGAATGGGTAACTTTGGATGTTTCATTTAGAAACTAGATTATTTGCTTTTCCTGTATTGTTTCCTAGTTTTATTAAAGTTCCTTCCCATTAAAGTCTCATATGTTTTGTGTTGATACAGCAGATGGCAAAACCCATTTAAAATAGGCAGGTTTGTGGGGTTTGGGCTGCCCCTCTCCCTGTCCTATAACAACCTGATCAATGAGTGTGCGTGATGCGTGCATTTTAGCTTTTACCCGAGGTTTAGAGATTATGGAAAATCAATGCAGAATAACTTTGTGGCTGCATTCAGTCAATATAACTGGGTCTTCAATCAAAAAAAGATTTGAAGCTGTGGTTGATCTAAGCTTTCAGCTGCCCAATTTAAAATGTAAATGGCTACTGCAGCTGATAAAATTCTCCCTTGAGAGCTGTAGAGCCTTGTAATTTAGAGCCCCAAATTCCATATTGCTTCTACCACTCAAAGAGTATGGCATAGACTGATAGAATGTCAGAGCAGGAGGCCCTGCGTGGGGAATCTAGGTTAGCTGTTTTGGAGCTGCTCTGTGGAGTCCTCCCAGGGGCCCAAAGTGGGCAGGGAATAACCAGCAGGCAGGGCTCTGAGCTACCCAACCCCTGTCCCATGCCAATTGTTTCTTTTGCCTCAACACACTCTGACCAGTTTTACTGTCTTAATGCTTTTTTGTGAGAATTTTTTAAAAAGATTTATTTATTTATACATACAAGAACTGGGTGTAAGCCAGAAGTGCAGTGGGTGAGAGGATTCACCAGAGACAAGGTGGGGAGCAGAACAGGCAGATCTACTGAAATACGCTGCTGAGGGAAGCAGTGGGTGAAGCAGGAGAGGTCTGCTGCGCCATGTGGGTTACTCCCTGGCCAGCTGGGTATAGAACTCATGCTGCAGTGGGTGGCAATAGCTTGATAGCTCTGTCTTTAACCCCTGCACCACCAGGGAGGCCCCCTTTGTGAGAGTTTCTATGAAGGAAACATTCTGAGGCTAAAAACATTTTGAAAGAGATAGTTTGATCTAGATTAGCTCACTCATTTTCCAGGTGGATTCACGCCACCTGGAGAAGGTCAGACACACAGCGGGGTGTGCTGAGTCCTGAAGGCAGTAAGAAGCATGCCTTTCTGAGACTGTTTCCTTAGGTGTCCTCCTGATGGGTTAGTGTGAGAATCAAATGGAACAGACAGGAAAACACAATGTGGAGGAGGGTATATAAATCATTGAATATATTAGTTAAATATAAAGTATTATTATCATTTTCCCTTTTCTAACACTAGGACAATCAGGTAGATTGCCAAACTGTGTTCAGGGAGCCCTGTGGATGATTGCTGGAGGCTTAGGGACCTTCTTCAAACAAAGTGACTTCCTTTTTATCTGCTTCTTATGTTAGGCTCCTAGAGTTTCTTTCATAGATGGGACTCTATAATGTTGTAAAAGTCTAACAACCACTGATGTAGAATGGTTTTTGCAAACAAGAATAAATAGCTATGTTTACAATGCCAGTGGCCAACTGTTCTATGAAGATGACTGGACACAGAACATTCAGGGTAGAGATTGAGTATCTGGTTCAGGAGATGACCACCATATCCATAAGCACTATGGACAGATTGGCTTGAACCAAAGAGACTGAACACTGAATTCTACCAAACGGAAACACACCATGAGACCTTTGAGCTGCAATGAGACTTGGGGGAGGAGGGTCTTTTATGCCTGGGTTATTTCCAAGGTCTTTCATAATTTAGCCTTGTTTATCACTGAACTGATGATTCAACTTAATTACCAGAGTGAAAACTAAGTGGTTCCTGACAGCTCACAGCCCTTTCTTTACTGTCTTTCATTTTTTAGTGCACTTACATTTCCATCGACCAAGTTCCTAGGACTCATGCCATTGTGATAAGCAGACCTGCCTGGCTTTGGGGGGCAGAAATGGGAGCCAATGAACATGGAGTGTGCATAGCCAATGAAGCCATCAATGCCAAAGAACCAGCCACTGAGACAGAAGCCTTACTGGGGATGGATCTGGTCAGGTACTGCAAGGGGACTCCTTGAAACAACTGCCTAGAACAGGAGGGGAGTGGGGACAGGATTTACTCCCCCAAACTCCATATTGTGTAATAAAATCATCCTGAAGAAGATCTGTAGCTTTTGACATAAACCTTGAGGTGACTGGGGGAAAAAAAACAGATTGCAATGGAATATTCAACAATAAAACAATAATGAAATACTGAGACTTGCTACAACATGATGAATCTTAAAACATTATAAGCCACACAGAATATTATAAGCCTACATGTTAGAATTCCACCTATAGGAAATATCTAGAATAGGTAAATTCATAGTGGCAGAAAGTAGATTAGTAGTTGCCTGGCGGTTGGGGTAGAAGGATGGGAATGAGGACTGATTCCTAATAGATACAGGATTTCTTTATGGGGTGTTGAAACATTCTAAACTTAAGATTGTGGTGCAATCACTAGTTGGGCAAACTGTGTATGTGCCAAAAACTACTGAAATACGTAGTTGGTGAATTTTATGGTTGTTAAAATATATTTAATAATATATGAAAGAAAAAGTATATAAAATATTAAGGAAAAGAACAGAGGTCTCTTCCTTCTTTCCCTTCAATATCTCAGTTGTACTTTGTTCTTTCTCCTTCTCTTCCTGCCACGATGCAACAGAAGGAAGCAGATATGTACGGTGAATGGGAGCAAGATCTTGGCTTGTTTCATTTGCTTGTGTCACAGGCACCAAGAACAATGTGCCTGGCACATAATAGGTGATCAATGAGTCCAGAATGAATGACTAGAGGGGGACGGCTATAGCTTTTCTTTTTGTGAAATAGTGAAATATAATAGACTGATGACATAGGTGAAAGAAGGTTGGGCTGGGAGTTGGGGTTTTTGTTTCATTGTGGATACACCATGTTGTATCACCCCTCTGGGCCCTAGTGTTCTCATTTGTTCAGTTTGAGACCTAGATTGGATGGCTTCATTCCAAAGAACCTTCCAAAGTTGACATCTTATAAAAAGAAATAGAAGTTAAAACATCTTGTAGGTTTTGTAGGGAGAAATTACTTACATTCCCTGGAGGCCCATGGAGCCCATATCTTGCAACTGATGATTTGATCTACTAGAAGTACATTTTGGTAGCATGTTGCCTTTGTACCTTCCTCATCTTTCTCATACTTCCTCCACCAAGAACCTGCCTGATTCTCATAGCTTAGAAGGAACAATTCCCTGAACTGGAGAAGAGAGGAAAAGACCTAATATTTATAATCAGTATTCTGTTGATTATCAGAATGAAATAATACAAATTTCAAGCTTATGTTTTGACAGCTGTCCTGATATTTTTACCTCTATATTTAATAGACATCCTGAAAATGAAGAATTGACAATGAAAAATGTGCCCCTTTAATGCCTCATTTATAGCCTTGCATTTTGAATTATCATTATATTTGTGGCATGGAATTTATAGAGCTGCCAAAGATCACCATTTAACAGCTGTTTCAATGGAATGACTGAAGAGAATTTTTCCTCTGTCTTCAAAGCCTCTGATGTTTCTTTTCAAGAGTATCAGCCTATAAAGCAACAGGGGTTTACTGAATATCTACTTTGTGCCAGACTCTGTGGGCACACGAAGAAGCTCAAAAGCTTCAAAGAGAATTTAGTTTCATTATAGAGATGACAGAAAATTGAGCAATGCAAGATTTAAAAGCCCATTTAAGATGAGAGTAAAAGAGCAGTGTCTCAAGGCAGGGAAATTTGTAGCCACATGAATGGCACACTCTTGCTGATAATTATTTGATTATGAAAATATGGCCTGTTACAAGAATAAGTCCATAGCAGGTAGTTGCATTATCTGATCTTCTCCCTGGCAACACAGTGAAAAGTCCCTTCAGAAAGAATCCAGTTGGGTGCAATTTAATAAACGTTGCTTCTCAAGTTAAAAATTCGCCAAGTACCAGCCTATGCTACTACTTCAGTAGACTCCACTGACCCTGTCCTAAGACTTGGGTTCCTGCCATGAGGATTACAATTTGAACACACAGATGAATAAATGGGCATTTACTGAGTACATGTTATATGCTGTACTCTTTCAAACCAGCCTGAAAGGGGAATAGTACTGTTTTCACTTTGCTGAGGAGAAAATCAAGGTTTGGCTTAGTTACTTTCCTTATGATCATACACTGGTGGGTAGCAGAAGCAAAACTAGAAGCTGTGTTTCCTTATCTCTGAGTCATGGGATTTTTGCTCATAGCTGCCACCTCTCAGAATCTGCCCATCACTTACATGGTCCTGGGGACTAGCACCGTGCATTTTAATATTCATTATCTCATAAAATCCTTTCTCATATTGAGACAATGTAGTTACTTATTTTATAGGTGACATAAAAGTGAAGTTCAAGTATACTCAGTAATTTGTCCAAAGTCATGCAGACGGCAGTATCTGTGCCCTCTTTATGGGCTTTACTAATTGGAAGGACAGGGAGGATTTTGCTGTTTCATGTCAGAAAAAGTATATGCTTTTTGATAACTGAAACTGTAAGCCATACCAGTAGAGAAAAGCTAGTAGGTAGGAGGAGGAGGAATATGTAAAAAAAAAGGTTTGATCATGTCCTAACCAACGACCCATTCCTAATGAGATCTCTGAGTAAATTATATGTATCGAGGACAGTGACTGGCCATGGAGCTGTTTCATTACTAACCAAAACACCTGGGGTAGAAAATAATAGAGGCCCAGGCTGGACTGGGCAGAGATTTTCTTTAGCCTGGGCTTCAGATAAGAACCATAGGAAGGGGATCTTGCAGAGGGTGATTGCTAAGCGGACCTGTTCCGTGGAGGCAGAGTTGGAAAGGAAAGAGGTGGCTGAGCTTTCTTTCAAGAGGGAGAAGCCATTGATTCTTGAAAAAGCCTTTGAAAAGACCCCCAGGGTTTTAAATGAAATGTATGTGAGGTGTATTTTGAGGTAGAGTACTGTTAATCTGCATATTGGCCTTTGTATTTAGCATATTTGCCTGTGTTGGCATGCTTCAGCAGTCTTGTCCTAGTCTTTGATTACTATAATAGTAATCATGTGGTGTGACGTGACAGAGGCATATGTCTGGTTTACCCACTTCAGGCTTGGTTTAGAAAGAGGGACGACAGCTAAAGAAGCCTTAGATGTCATTGTCGCCTTGTTGGAAGAACATGGACAAGGTGGGAATTACTATGAAGACGCAAACTCCTGCCACAGCTTCCAAAGTGCATATCTGATTGTGGATCGGGAGGAAGCCTGGGTACTTGAGACCATAGGGAAGTACTGGGCCGCTGAGCAAATCACAGGTGAGTGGTGTGAATGGAGAAGCTTCCCGGACTGAAAAGGCTGAGAAGCATGTCAAGTTCTCTAGCCCTGACCTCGAGGAATCATTCTGCTTTTCAGCCCCTCCATGCTGGATCTTCAACACGTTGCCTGCCTCCCCTTTTTGGGCTTCTGCTTCTTAAGAACCAGGAGTTTCCTGAATGAGAGTGTAGGGATGTCAAGTATTGCGAAAACACACTTCTAACAGTTTATTTTCTGTTTGCTTTCTGGACAGGACCCAGTTCTGAACACCAGCAGTTCCATGACCTTAATACTGACTATATTCATTGGCCAAGGGAATGGTTATTTCCCCATTCCAGTCATTATAGGTCAACCAATCACATAACAGGGAACTGCTCCTGGTCACCCCTGGCTCAGTGGCTCTTTGTGTTTGGAATCTTCTGTAGAAGAGGAATTTGGATGTGTGAAGACTGTTCAATACCCCTCCTAGCCAACAATTCCAAGTACCTCTGAGGCAGTGTTCCTAGAGAGAAGAGGAATAGAGAACACACCCAGAAGGATTTAATGCTTAGAAAACTGCTGCTCTGTGCTCCCTGCAGCATCTTGTTCTAAGCCTTTGAGGGACAGTTCTGGAAAAGGAAATGTTAGGAGTGGGAGTGCCTGTCTTGAATATCATCTCACCACCCTCATATTCTGAATAGGATGGGATCCCAAAATAGATCAAAGGCTTTCTAATAGAATCAAGGCATTCTAAGAGACAATTGGCCTTTCTTAGGACTGGATGACAAATACAGGGTATGTGCTCTGCAGTCTCAACATCTTGTGCCTGTGACAGACATGGCTAGTAGATCACAGCACTCTTCTCTTGGTGAGCCTGTACTTGGCCTATATATATTTTTTTCTCAACTGAATTTACCAGGAAGTCTTCCAAGGCTTAGAAATGATGTCAGGTATGAAACTTGTTTGCCATCTCCACTGTAAGGATATTTGGCACCATATCCCCAGAGTTAGTCGTAGAATATTTAGTAGTTGGGAATCGCCTGCTGTCTTCTGTGGCCTGAATCATACTGGTGATCAGGGTTGCTGTGGACATGTTGTGTCCAAATGCCAGGGTGCCCCACGGAGGCTGTGAAATCTAGCCTGCCATTTTCCCAGAGGGGAAAGAGTAAGCCATTCTTCAAATTCACCAAGGTGCAGAATGGATTGGCTGTGCCCACTAAAATCTCAGTTTCTCTTCCTCGTGCACCCAGCTGGTCTGCCCTTCTCCCATGGCAGTTACAGAACTAAGGCTGTCAGTGTGGCCTCCTAGATATCCATGCCCCCTGCGATGCAGGACTTAAAACTCCTTTATAAAAATCTCTTAAGATGAAGTCTATTGAACAGCCATCAAGAGGGCTAGTGGTCCATGCTGGAAAGCAGTCTTAATGTTTTTAAGTAGAGCTTGTAACTTTTTGCTCTATAATTGAATTTCAAAGGCTTAACTTTTCTTTAAGATACCACCTAAAAAATCCATCTCCTGGGCCTCCCTGGTGGTGCAAGGGGTTAAGACACAACCTATGAAGTTATTCACAGCCTCTGCAGCATGAGTTCAAGTTAGATCCCCAGCCGGCTAGGGAGCAACCCACATGGCGCAACAGACCTCTCCTGTCTCACCCGCTGCTCCCCTCAGCAGTGTATTTCAGTCTGCCTGTTCTGTTCCCCACTCTTTCTCTGGTGAATCCTCTCCCCTGCCCCCCACGCCTCTGGCCTGTACCCCAGCTCTTGTACACATAAATAAATCTTTAAAAAAAAAATCCATCTCCCGAAAATGAATGTTGTCTTTCATTAAATATTTAAATAAAACCCCTAGTCACTCCTTGGACTCGTTGATTTCATTCCTCTAATCCTAGCAGTAATGTGACTGCGGTAGGATTTAATGAACTCAGGTCCCCAGATGCGAAAACTCTTGAAAGAAAATGTCTACTATAAATCAACCCTCTAGGAAAATAACATCTGTGGAATTGTTCACAAAATTAAAAAAAGAAAATGGCTTAGCATGAATAATGTCAAACAAAATCAGTTGTTTAGATTGAAGTTACTTTTTATTTTAAAAATAGTTTTACTCTTATTGGTTCCTTTGAAAAAGAGGAATAAGCAAAGAACAAATGCCTATCATCCAGGAATGCTTACTTTGTCTAAGTGAAAATCAGAGAAGCAGAACGTTCTAGGAGAATTCGATCCAGCACTGATCCAGTCTCTAGGGGCTGGTTTTCAGGCAGTCATGACTTTCTTGCTGCTTGTGATTTGGGCTCTCTCTCTACTTCATTCTCCCAGAATTTTGAAGAGCAACATGCCTCCTGGGGACAATTGTAAATGGCCCTTATGAGCTTCACCTGTTAACTTCTTAGTGTTACGGGCAGCATCTTGAAGCTCGAAGGCCAGGTCATTCTCAATATTTGCAACTTAGACTTTGGAGAAGACACAGCAAGTGGCCAGCAGATAGGAGAATTTGTGACCTCATCCTCATTCATGAAGGTGGAGTGTACTTAGAATGGAGACTTTTTGGATTCTAGACTTAGCTAAGCTTATATTTTTGTGAGAAAAAAGTTCCTGTAGATTTTATACAAAAGCACACATATGTATGTGTCTAACACATACACACTCAGACCCATAATTCACAGGTACATTCCAGTATTTTAAAGCAATTCATTACCAGCGCCACTATTTTTCTAAATATTGGGACCTAGAAAAGATTAAATAAGGTGTCATATGTATTTTGAAGCCATATAAATAATATAATTACATATATATAGTTCATACATAGTTTATATGTCACATAGATAGCATATGTTATATTACATATATTTGAGCAGAGGGTAGTCTAAAGTGGAGGAATCTCTGCTGCTGAGACATATTAGTAGGCTCTTTTTGTGAAGGCTACCACCTTTTGCTTTTCTTGTAGGTAATATGTGTCAGTGCTTGGGATTTATTTAGCCAGAATGAATAGCTCATGTATTTCCTTTTGTTTGTGAATTTAAAGCCAAGTGACCATTGCTCATTTAAAATGTGATAATGCTGGTCAGTTCCTGTCTAGTCTTCTGGGAGTTTCCCTCAAAAAAAAAACCAAAAAACTATTCTTTAAAATTTGAATAAAAAATTTAACTTCCTATAGTTAAAGTTAAGTTGCAGGGGGAGGGAGCCCCATAAATTTGTTACTTTTTTTAAGATTTATTTCTTCTTAAAAGAACTAGGGTGTAGGCTAGAGGTGTGGGGGTTGAGAGGATTCACCAGAGACAGGGTGGGGAGCAGAACAGGCAGATCCACTGAATTACACTGCTGAGGGAGCAGCAAACGAGACAGGAGAGGTCTGCTGTGCCATATGTGGGTTAGTTCCCTGGCCGGGGATCGAACTCAGGCCATCAAAGTGGTACCCCAGAGACGTAAAACCCCTAGGCCACCAGGTAGGCCCAAATTTCTGTTTCTTGATTAAGTCTTTATATTTCCAACTAACTGGGCTTTGTGCTTTCTACAGAGGGAGTGAGGTGCATCTGCAATCAGCTTTCACTCACCACTAAGATCAATGCTGAGCATCCTGAACTCAGAAGTTATGCTCAGAGTCAAGGTTGGTGGACTGGGGAGGACGAGTTCAATTTTTCTGAAGTTTTTTCTCCAGCTGATGACCATGGAGACTGCTGTGCAGGCAAAGAGAGCTTAGAAAAGCAAGAAGGTGAGCGAGTACATCTCTTGTGATTGCCCCTCTTCAATCAGGGCCACAGCTAGCCACAGGGGAAGCTGGGAGATACGGTTTCTAGTTGAGCAGTCATGTTCCCACCTATAATTTCAGGAGCTGTACAAAACTCCACAAAGGGAAAGGAATGAATGGACTTTGGTGAACAGTCTGCCATAGTTGGTGAACAGTCTGCCACATCTTCTGTCTCTACCTTTTCTTATAGAAAGCATCACTGTACAGACTATGATCAACATCTTACGGGACAAAGCCAGTGGAATCTGTGTAGATTCTGAGTCATTCCTCACCACAGCCAGTGGAGTGTCTGTCCTGCCTCAAAATAGAAGCTTGCCGTGCATTCACTATTTCACAGGAACACCAGATCCTTCCAGGTTGGTCTGAGACCCGTTATGTAGGCAGAGAACATGTGCTTCCACTGAGAGCTCATCCAACAAGTGTGCTTTAGTTCTGCTTCTCTCTTGCAGAGCCATGTCACACCTCAATGTGATCAAGGCAACACAAAGACCTTCAAGTCCTGGACCAGTTCTTTAAGACTGTGTGTTAAGGGGTTACTTTGTGCCCTTACAATTCAGTAAAGAAGTAGTATTGAACAGGTTAAGAACAGGTTAAGGCTCCAGAATAAATTGCCAAGATTTTTAATTCTGATCTGTCACTTACTGGCTGGGAAGGTAACCTCTCTGCTTCCATGTGTGTACTGTGTGATGGAGTAGTACAAAATCCTAACTTTAGTACCTTTAGGTACTTGTTGGGAACATTAAGTGAGATGACACAATAAATACCTAGTAGGTTTAACTATTATTTCTCAAGACTATCTCTATCTAGTCTACCAGTTAAACAGCAAGCCATTACCCCCAATAATTTCAGTCACATGCCCCACAAATCATATCATGCTGGCTTAAAGACACAACCCTCAGAGGTTTTCAGATCTGTTCATTATCAGAACCACTCGGGACATTTTGAAAACACAGCTCACCTACTAGATCAGAATCTTTGAGGTGGACCTAGGAATCTGACAAGTAAGTGACCCTCAGTCTGAAAAGCTCTAGAAAACTGCCTATTCTGTATTTTTTGGGTGTTCCACTGGCTGAAAATCATCATTATTGTTTAAATATTGTATGTCAAACCTTTGATCTCGCTAGAGGGAATCTGTAGCTGTTCAATTTCATATCCTTTGTAACTGCAAAGATTTATTCTCTTCTTATTGTCTCAGGAACATAAGACAATGTCCAGCTAGTGACTATTTCTTAGATGACTCAGGGAAAAACCTCTACCTCTCCTGATCCTTTGGCCTCATTTTTAAAACTATTGCTGATATCAGTAGCTCCTTCCATCTAGCACATTATATTTGGTATAAGCTCCTTCTTTTTTCATTCACACATTTACTCTTTCAATAAGCACTTATTAAGCATCTGCTGTGTACCAGATATTGTGCTTTTTGGGTACTTGGCCGTTAGTATAAGCATGTATGAGGTGAGAGGTGGCCAGTTTGACAATGGAGAAGTCAAATTGGAAAACTTCACAGAAGAAGGACTTGAGCACTGGGCATTGTGGGCAGAGTAGGAGTTGACATAAAAAGCAGGAATGACATTCTGCAGAGGGAACAGCATGTGCAAGGCATACAGGCATGGAATGGCATGGCACATGGTTGCAGTTGTGCTTCCTCCTACAGATTTGGTTATCTCTATCACCCCCCCCCCCCCAATCTCCTCCAGTAAACAAGCCTCGTCACCCTCATCTGGTACCTCTGTTGGCCTCATACAGCGAGCCTCAACCACTCAGCAGTGTTCCAGGCAGCCTTTGGGGTCTGGCCTCCTGTTACATTCCAGCCACTTTCTCTTGGTGTGATATCCATTCAGAATGCTTGGTTCCAACTCCCACCCTCTTTTGTTCCACCAAAGCAGGGGCTCCTCCTTCCTCTCCCTATTGTTTATAGACTTCCCCATGGACTCTGAGCTGGCTTATCCTCAGCACTGCCAGCTCAGCTGGCTCTCATGAGCACTCACTGACGACCCACAGGGGAACACGTAGGGCTTCAGAGTCCTACTGTGAAGGTCTTAAGTCATCTCGATATTTGCACATTGTTCTTTAGGGAACAGGAGTTTTGAAGGAGTACGTTGAAGAAGGACCACACCAATCTGCATTGTCCTCCATGTCACAGAAACTTGTTCTGACCGTGCTTAGAAGACAGGGCTTTGCCATGGCAGAACACTAATAAAGGAATTCTTTTTCCTCTGTTGAAGTACTTGACCTAATACAATTAAAGAAATGGTTTGGGAAATAGCCTTCTAATAGTTTAAATGGAAATGTTCAAGTAATCTTAAAAGACAATTATTCATGGTTAAATTAATTGAGAAGACCTTATGGAAGATTAGGGACCCTCGGGAAGACCTTCATTTTTATTTTCTAAGACTAAATGAGTTGCATTTCCTACTGTGACTATGGAACGGTCATAGACTTCCCCTCCCCATTCACCATTTCAATGTTTCTCTGTAATTGGGCATGTTCAACATTCTGTGGCTTGTCAGCGGGAAGCATAATTACCTACTCTTGGGTTTTTAGGTAGTAAAATTAGGGAAAATTTAACTGGCTTTAGCTAGCGCTAAAAACATGACAGACATTTTCAGGAAATAGTTTCAGAGCAGTGGGCTTGCCAAAGGTCATGACCGAGGAGCAGGACTATATTATTTGTCCCTCCAGTGAATGTTAGAAACTGGGGGACACCATCTGCCTGTCTGCCTTGACACTGCTTTGTTCAGTGCTCACTGTACTAATTATAGATTTTTTTTTCCTCCAAATAACATATTCTCATTCTCTTCTTCACTTTCTCCCTCCTTACCTTTTTTCCTTCCTCTTTTCTAGAATGAACCAGGCACTGTGTGAGTTTGAGAGTTGGAAGGAGATGCAAAAGTCAGAGTTTGAGAGATTGAGGGAGACACAACAGATCTTTAGTTTTACTGAGAAGGAAATGTCATCACATTGCTGTATTCTATTGAGTCATCTGGTCCCTCGGTCATCTACATAGTGATGCCGATAGGCTTTAGTGCCTTGGTTCTGCCCTTGGAAAGCCACTTCCAAGTGGAAGCCAGGACCTGCTAAGGCTTCACTGCTGTGAGGAGTGGGAGGCGGATGGAGCAGGGTCCTGTTGTGTGCTGGAACCGGTGAGAACTGATTACGCAGATCTCTTCCCAGCGCTGCTTGGTGACTTCACCTTGGTAATTTGAAATGAGTCATCGCAGGTACATTTACCCCACAGGAAATAGCAGACACCATGAATCAGGGCATTATTTTCCCCCAGAGATCCAGTTGTCAAGCCAGCACACCGAGAGTCCCTCCCCCTCTTCTAGGAAAATACACAAATACTCAAGATACAGGATGGGTCATTCAGAAGGAGTGAATTTAAAAGTATTCATTTTAAATATTAGAAGGCTATTTCCCATCCCATTTCTCTAATTGTATTAGGCAGTGTACATCGACCTAGGAAACAGAAAACAGGCAAGACGTTCTAAATTTGACCTACTTTAGTGAAAAGGAGCTGGGTGGATACAAGGAACAGGGAGTGTGTGTGCACATGTGTGTGTGCATGCGTGCATGTGTGTGTGTATGTCTGTTTGCCTTCTCTTCTCTATACCATGTTTAAAGGCTTAATTGGATCAGCTAAAAATATCTCATATTGTTAACTTAGTTGACAAGTTAATGACAAGTGGCGCCTCCTCGTTATTAGGGGTTACATCCTGGGCTTCAGACCATGTCCCCTATGTTAGTGGAGCCCTGGTTCCCTGCAGGACATAGCCTACGCGGACATACACAGAACTGAGGGTCCTATGCAAAACAGCTACCCCTAAGCCCCCCATCTCATTCTTTTTCCAACACCATCTTATCTCTCCTGTTCTAATTTTTCAAAACCTCTTTAATCATCTAGTTCCAGCCTAAGGTTGTCCCACACTCCCTAAATACTAGTTCTCTTTCCCTCTAAATGGAAACATCCTTCAGTGATATTCTGCTCTCAGCTAAATATGGCTTTGACGATGTGATTGAAGTGACTCACCGCAAAGTGGGCTGACTCACAGATGAACCATTCAGAGGGACACCTGCAATGTAGGGAAACTGGCTTCCAGGTTCTTTTCCAGTTGGCTCCAAGTTAAGCAGATTCATCCTTTGTGCTGCTCCTTTCTGTGCCAGGCTCTGCCTCAGCGGCTTTGTTGGGGACTTCAGGGCTCAGGATAAGCCTGGCTTAATGGCTCAGGGAGTTTCTGCATCTTTGGCAAGAACAGAGACTGTTTGAGGTCAGAGTGTTAGCTGACCACTAATGGTAAAATCCCAAATCTCAAAGCACAAAAAATATTTCTTTTTCTTCAGTAGCAGTGTAAAAACACCCTGTAGCGGCAGGAAGGGCACAGAGCAGGATGTCTATGACCCGAGCAGACGGGCAGCCAGGTGAAGGAGAGTCCTAGGAGCCCTTGGTGGCTTTTTCAGGCTTTTATTGAGTTCACCAGGTACATGGCAGGCAGGGGTGCTGGGGGGGCCAGGAGGTGGCAGGCCTCCCAGCCCCTGCAAATCTTCACTCTGTCTGGGCTCTCCAGCATTCTCTCCTGGCCTCTGTTTCTCTGCTGGTTGTCTTCCTGGTCTCTTTCGCTCTCTGCTGGCATCCCCATGACACCGCCCTTATAAGCCCAGTCTCTCAGCCCAGGTGTACCCACCTACGCATGCTCACACCCTATTCCAGGTGCCTGCCATCAGGCATGCATTCAGGACCATGGGTTCCATCATCAATCCTAATGGCAGGAGGGCAGAAAAGCCTGATACTTTACTTACCCTACACACCCAAAACCAAAACAACAACAGAAAATAGTGAGAGGTAGCAGAGGACAAGGATTTTAGATTTGAATGTCTGAATTTAGTTCTACATCTGGCCTTATTAGGAAAGTATGTGCCTTTGGATAAAGTCCTTAGCTTCTGTCTGTAAAATGGGGCAAAGCTTTCCACTCTGCCTTGTTCACTGCTGTATCCCTAGTCCCTGGAATAGCGTCTTACACTCAGTCAGCTCATAACATTTTTACTGCTTCTGCACAGCATATTTACTGCATGTTGACAGCCTGTTTTACTGAATGAATGAACAGGGGTACTATGAGAAGTTGAATGCAAACACTTTGAAAATGATGATACACCATAAAATGTTGAGATTTCCATGATAACTTTCTCATTCCAAGTGAGAAAACAAATGAGAGGAAAACAGTTTTTGTATACTGACTTCAGGCATCCATCACAGGGGTTTGGAAGGCATAAAAAGGCAGATAAGGCAAAGATGTCTCCAAGGATGCCTGTAGCTCAAAGTGTGACCCAAAACTCAAATTCTGCAGACTCTGAGACAGACCATGGAAAGCCATACTGCGCTTCATGTCATAGTCTCATGCTTGGATCTTAGATTTGCCAAAGTTATAGCTGATGTTTGCAGTGACTTGGTTTCTTTGTGGCCTCCTTTGATAGTTTTCCTGTTCTTACCAAAGTTCCCCATAGAGTTACTCACCAGCTCTACACTTCCTCATTAGGCAGCCACTGGGCTGCCCTTTGCTATTGGCAGCCCTGCCCCTTATTTATTTATTTATTTATTTTAAAAAAGATTTATTTATTTATTCAGGCACTGGGTACAGTGAGAAGTGCAGGAGGGTGAGAGAATTCACCAGAGCCAGAGTGGGAAGCAGAACAGACAGAAGGACCGAAGTACACTGCTGAGGGGAGCAGCGGGCGGCAGGAGAGGTCTGCGCGCCATGTGGGACCCTCTGCCATGTGGGACCCTTCTCCGGTGGCCTGGGAGCAGCCAGGGATCTAACCGGCGATCGAACCGGGGATCGAATCGGGGATCGAACCGGGGATCGAACCGGGGATCGAACCAGCACTGCAGAGGCTGCAGGCAGCTTCGCAACCCAGCGCTCAAACGCTGCGCCACCGGGGAGGCCCAGCCCTGCCCCTTTTAGATTTACACACAAACCACATGAAGGCTGAGGGACCAGGCAAATGCTGGGGCAGGTCACTTCTCTGAAGTTTAGCCATGAGGATAGAGCAGAAGCAGCTTTCTGGAGCACTCTCTGCTGTGTCACACCTCAGTACCATCTATGGAGCTCTCTGGGGGTGTTCCATATGCAGGGAGAAGTGGGGCTGCCCTGGCTGGGTGGGCTGGTCACCACACAGGTGTTACTTTCAGCTTTGCCACTAGGGCTATGTTACCGTGGGTAAGTCATTTGATCTCCCTGGTCTATTCATTAGCATACATTCATTCAAGTGGCATTAAAAATGCTACCATCTGATGATTAGGTCAAGAAGATGTGATATATATACACAATGGAATACTACTCTACCATCAAAAAAAGATAAACTTGTGCCATTTGCAGCAACATGGATGAAGCTAGAAGGGATTATGCTCAGTGAAATAAGTCAAAAGGAAAAAGAAAAATATCAGATGATTTCACTTATAGGAGGAATATAGGGAAACCATACAAGGGATCAAAAAAAAAAAAAAGGCAAAACTAGCAGTCAAACTATAAATTGGAGACATTCATCAGGGGAGGGGAGGGAAAGGAATCAAAATGTGAGGGAAGAGCACAAGAGTCTATGGTGATAGTTCAAGGGCGTCTTGGTGGTGGTAATTTTATGGGGACAACACCTGAGAAGAGAAATCAACATAGTACAAAAATGAACAACGATGTAAAAATAAATAAATTTTAAAAAGAGAGAGATGAAATTCAGTTCACAAAGAAATAAAAAAATGCTATCATCTGAGGTTCATTGTGGGATAATATGGCTTTTTAAGGTGATATTCCATAAAGAATGGTCAGAAATCAGAATATTTGGGAACTGCTGAATTACCCACATTCCCCCCTTTCTGAATACATAGACACAAATGATCAAATCTGCATTAGAGATATTTTCTGGTTTAAATAAATTAGTGTATGATTGTCATTTATTATTAGCAATAATTTTCATTTATTCAATTTCCAAAAAATTCCCCCTTTAATCAACTGGCATATCTATGCTTCACATTTTTTATCATTTGAAGATGCTGACTTCCTTATAGACTTTGGGAAAAAGTTCTTGGAGAGATTTAGTTGCTTTAGAATACTATGGTCACCTCATCATATTTATTACTATTTGAAAAATAGAACTAGCAGGTGGGAGGGATAAGCATATATTACTTCTTGTCTTAGAAGAGACCCCCTCATTGATGTTACACTGACCTCTACATTCCAGTGAATGTGGAATGGATTAGAAGTTACATCAAATAGAATGACTTTTCCTGTGCTACATGGATTCAGAAGACCATGACTGTGCTTGGCATGAACTAACTGAAATCCAAGTCACAAGTGCACAGGTGGCATGATAAAGACATAGAAGTAACACAAAAGGTGTAGGAGCTGGAAGGGACAGTGGAAATAATTTTAGTGGAGATGAAAGGAGGAGGGAGAAAATGATAGACAGAGGCAGAGAAGAGTGCCCAGTTGTACAAAAGTACACACACACACACGGCATTTTCTCTCAGATCCATCCTTCATGCCCAAAGAACTGAATCAAAGAGTTCTTGCATCAACCACCCACTCTGCCCAGAACTGGCCCGTGAGACAACCAGACCGCTGTTTCTCTGTGTTGTGTCCGCCTTTTTATTTTTGTCATTTGTCTTAATCTTTCTGCTCCCTGAGTCTGTCAGAAAGATTCCAGAGATTTTCAAATAAGGCAGAACCAGAGAAAAATTCTCAAATGAGCTTCTTTCCCAGGAGGTCACTTTCAAGCAAACGATGGCAGAGAGAGAGGCAAAGAGTTGGCTCATTGCCCTCTCTCCTCAAAACACCACATGTCTTTTTCCTGGTCCCTTATTTAAGTAAAAATCAAAATCAACAAGCAACTATAAACCAGAGACACACTATGGGGTGGGGGAGAGGGGAGTAGGATCAAAACAAGGATGGTGGGAATTGTATGGGGACTATAACCAAGATGAAAATGCATACATTGTGCAAAAATTAAAAATGATGTAAAAAATATAAAATAAAAATAAATTTTAAAAAATTGCAAGAAAGGTGAAAAAAACCCACATGTCTACTTGCCTTACTTTACCTAACTGAAAAGAACCTCTCAAATGGTCTTCCCAGAACAAAACAAGTCTGTTTCGATGTCTCCTTGCTGTAAATAGATGAATTTGCTTGTAAATGACAGCTGCTTCACTAAAGCATGCATTTGGGTCTTGGGTGCACCCTGCCACCACCCACCATGAGTTGGCTCAGGATATGTTCAATGACCTAAGGACAGTCTCTGGTGTCCCCAAGCCCTGACTCGATATGGCTGAACCACCTCTCCTTTCTCCCCAGGTCCATATTCAAGCCTTTCATCTTTGTTGATGATGTCAAACTTGTCCCCAAAGTACAGTCTCCCTGTTTTGGGGATGATGACCCTGCCAAAAAGGAGCCCCGGTTCCAGGAGAAGCCAGACCGCCGGCATGAGCTGTACAAAGCCCATGAGTGGGCCCGCGCTGTTCTGGAGGGTGAACAGGTGAGTGGCTGGCCCATGGGGGTGTGGTCAGGAGGGCAGTGGCTGAGCAGCTCATCATCATGCTTCTCTCCAGAGCGACTCCTCCCAGAAATGCAGAAAATCCAAGGCCCTTTCCAGAGTGACGCTGTTCATTTGCCCCACACGCTCCTGAAACCAAAGCCTCTACTTTTGCTGTTATTCTAGAATTCAGTGGGCTAGGAATCTCTCACTTACCTAGGACTCATAGAAATGTGTGGTCTAGTAGGGCTACTGCTTTTCTGCTGTCTACAATTCTTTGTATGATTGTAAACAGTTGTAGGTGATAGCAAGGCTTTATTTAAAGATGCAATCTTATTTTCAAAAAAGTGATTCATCAGAAAACCCCTCAGATGGTTGGTGCCCACACAACAGTGTGAGTGTGCATAATGACACTGCACTGTTCACTTAAAAGTGGCTTAGGTGGTACATTCTATGTCATGTATATTTTGCCACAGTAATTTTTTTTAAGATTCTCAAGTTCTAGCAAAAAAAATTATAAATGTAACTTCCCTTTCCTTCCAAAGTTTTGGTTAGTAAGGTTACATCAATTCAGACCTGAGAAATACCCATTCTGTGTTCCCTAGCACCCCAATATGTGCCCACAGCCCCCATTAGTGGTGCTGGTCATATAAAATCAAGCTTCTGTTTTGCTAAAGGAAGAAGGAAAGTTGTTGGATGCTCAGCTCCAACACAAGCATTTTATCAACAGCATGCCATAGGTTCTGTTTATCATAGAGAAACGACCCCTTTTAGGTAAATTGGCGCATTCATTGTGTGTAGACTGGGTCAGTTAATTTCTTTATATTTGGCATGGTGTGCTATAGAAAAGGTATATAAAGAAGGCAACAGCAGCAACTCCTGGTGAATTCAGATCATGTCTCCGAGAAGGGAGTTTCACTTTTTGTAGACTTGCTCTTTCATGCCACAGAGATGACCATTTTGACACAAAAAGCTGCACAGTGAGCTCCCATCTGTCTGCCCTGCTAGACCCTTCCCTGGAATCGTGATTGCCGCAGCTGCACTACACTGAATTTTCTCTAGGGCTGCTCAAATGAGCCTGTGCCAGTTCTGATTTTCTAGGTGGATAAGTAAGAGTAAAAATATCACTCCTTGGTACTTGGTTTTATGGCTATTTGGCAAGTAGGAAGCAGAGGGTGATCTAGGACCATATGTTCCCAGCTGTAGTACTTACATTACAAAGACTTGAGACCGGTGAGTTCCCATAAACTTTGAAATTGAGATGTGATCATTGGTTTGAGTCAAAGCTGTGTTAGAAAGTGGTGAGTGGTGGCGAGAGCAGCTTTTTCATTCTGAGATAAATTGGGCAAATGAGAAATTCTCATTGTCATCCATTATAAATGAATGGTTTCTACTTGGAAGAGGTGATCTCACCACAGGAAAAAAATAAAGCAGGGATAGACATGGCATGTGATTATTCCTTGATCTGTTTAGTCATTCAACAAACATTTATGAGCAGTGCCTACTATGTGCCAGGCATAGGAGGACAGAGATAAACCTTGGTCCCACTCCCCAAGAACCAGTGTCTAATGGGCACAGAGGCAAGTGGACCAACCCTTACTAGATTGGGAGAGAATGACCATGACATTGTACTGCTGCAGCCCAGAGGAAAACTTCCAGAGACCTCATTATGGGTGCGAGCTGAACAAGCATTGACAGAGGGATGAGCCATGTAGACAGCAGGGTTGCCTTGCAGGGGCGAGGACTAACATGGGTTGGGGAATGCAATAATTGAGCTTGGAGAGAAGGGAGATGTGGGGGCATGACAAGAGGTGAGGCCAGCAAGAGCCTTGTATGTTACAAAGCGTCTTTCCTGAATGCCACTCAGGAATCAGAAGACAATGAGTTGCTGCCCGAGTATTTTAAAAGCAGAGCAGCGACATAGCCATGTTGATATTCTAGGATTCCGTGGCAGTCCTGCGGGAACAGATTGAATTCAATGGGTAGGACCCCAGGGCCTATTGCCATGACCCCCACATTTTTTGTCCTTCCCCAGGAGCAAGGTCACAAGCTGAGGAAGACCATGCTGGAACTAGAGAAGCAAGGCTTGGAAGCCATGGAAGAAATCCTCACCAGCTCTGACCCCCTGGACCCCACTGAAGTGGGGGATCTTTTCTATGACTGTGTTGACACGGAGATTAAGTTCTTTAAGTGAAGTAAGCATTCCTTTCCCCCTTCTTATTTAACTTTCCCACCTTACTAGGTTACCAGCAAGACAAACCACTCTCCTGTTTGAGTAAAATGAGAAAGTTCAGATGTGGTCTCTTTTTCTGAAGCCAAATTGAACTGTTCACTTGTGTTCTGCCTTGAATCTCAAAATGCCCCCTTCTGCACTGTAGAGCCCCTTCCTTTGCAATGTAACATGTATCCCATTTGCCTGTTGTTTGAACGTCTGACTAATTGTGGATTTTAAGCTGCTATTATTGTGTTTCAGTGACAATGGGCACATTAGCCTTTCCACAGGATGAGAGTTCACCAAGCTTTGAAAGACATACTCCACAGCACTCAGTTTTGGGGCAAAGCAGTCTTTTGAAATCTTACTGTTTTTCTCAGTAACAGTTTCTTTCAGGTTAACAGACACCATTTCTTTGTCTGCCCAGGCCTCTTGGGTGTGTACTCAAGGGAGAAGCTTTAGGGTGTTTAGTCCAGGGAGAAGCTCCCTGGCCTCCCTTGCCTTGTGAGCATGCCTGCGGTGAACAATGTTTCTGGGCAAGTCTTCTGAGGGGCAAAACCAGTGAGAAAGGATAAAGGCGACGCCCCTTGGGTTCCAGCTCCACCCCCATCTTCTGATCCTGAAGATCTCTCGTGCACTGTGCCTGTGTGAGGTGGCGAGGTGCGCCCACAGACTGCTTACTGGGGCAGGAGAGCTGGTCTCCATGTGAACAGGGACCTGCCCACTCTGGAGGTGCAGAGGCAGCCATACCAGGGACTTCCTGAATCTCCCTAAGGACACGGCTGCTTACCCTGCACAGCAGCACACCCATCCCCTGGAGGAGGCCCCATGGAGAAAAGATCCTAGGCCTGGTTACTGCCATCTAGTTTAGGATTAATTAAAAGGCTCTATGGCATAGTTCCACGCCATAAAGCTGCGGCTCTCTCAGCTAATGAGGGAAAGAAAAGGAAAAGCTCTTGACTATTTAGATTCCAGTTAAAGTAGCTGGAGTCCGGGCAGCCACTGCGTTATCTCAGCAGAGAGGCTTCCATTACACTGATTTGTTTCTAGTGTTGTGTACACATGAAGGATTTGACTTACCAGCAGAGCATAGAAAAGCATCAAAGACCAGATGGGCTCAGCACCGGGAAGATAGAGGCCAAGGAGGTGACAGATGGCTGTAGAGGCATTTCGCTCCAGGGTAATAATCCAGCCCCCAGCTTTCCTGCCCAGCCCGTTACTTCCCACAAAGCTATGCAGGAAGCATCTGACTTCCCTGGTCTGTCCCCTTATTCCTCACGTCCCAGGTTTTCCAGTGGCTACCTTCAAACTGGCTGGAGTGAGCGAGTAGAGGGTGGCTTACCTCCAGCTACTGAATCCCTCAAACACTCTTGAAATGGACCGGAGGCAGAGCTGATAATAAAAGAGTATGTTAGTATGGCAGCTAGTGAGAGAGCAGCCACTGAATCACTCCAGCCTCCCTGGTGCCATTGGGGCCTAAGCATGCTTCATCATTGATAGGAATTTTCAAATGGAAATACTGTGCATGTCAGTAGTCTTGGAAGGGATTTAGCAGTACTGTGTCACAGCCCCTGAGAGCTGGAAGGGACTGGGCCCCATTCCCAGATGTGGACACTGAAGCTCTTTCTTTTTTCCCTCTGCCAACTTTCCTTTGAAAGTATAGCTAATGAGAACACCATGAGTGTTTTGCCTGGCAGTCTTGTAATTTTGTATGTAATACCACTAGCTACAAATGGTGAGAGATGAGATTATCAGAGCTGATAAAGTAACAGCAGCCAGGTATGGTGGCTTGTAGTTGCTGAGTTTTCTTCAGGTTTGGCCTGGGCTTTCCTTGTTGATGAACTTAGGATCTCCTCATAGGTGGGACAGTCCTGAGAGTTTCTGTCTATAGCTGCTAATTGGGGAACTTGGAGGATGATGTAGTAACCTCATCCCCTCTTATAAATAACCTACTGGTGGTTATTTAAAATAAGATGGTGCAGAAAGTCACTCTAAACTTTTGCCATATGGCTTCATCTTTTTCTATTATGGAAACATTTCATCAGATCTTACATGCCTGAGATACCCCACGTGATTATGGGTTTGGTCAAAAGTGTTTAGTGAGAATAAATTACACAGAAACCTGCTTTCATTATTATGGGCCAAACAAAGGTCATACAGACCCAGCCAGTTTTATGCCATTGCCCAGCCATTGTGCACTGGGAAACACAATGGCTACTTCTGTTAGGGGTCATTGACCTTGGTCCAGCACCCGAGAGAAGAGCCAACCCTCTCTGAGTTGACTTGACAATTGTGATGCCCCATCTCACCACTAGAGGGCATAGCAGCCCTCCCTGGCAGAAGCTGACTGGCGCTGGAAGCTTCCACTAGGTGTGGAGGTGGTCTAGGAGCAGTGAACCTAGGTGGCCGCAGTTGCTGGATTCTTGGTGTAATGGGACATGTGGGGAAAGACGACAACTAGAGCGAGCAAGTAATCTGCTAGTGTGGCTGCACTCATTTATAGTGACTTTAATCTACTTAACAGCTTGACATTCGTTGTTGGATTTCGAAGAGGTTGTTTGGGGATGTTTGTTTTTAAACACTCTAGCAGATTTTGCTTTGAAAAATGCTTATTATGACATGGATAATTTCTTGACCGGGGTTGCTTTTCTAGAGGCAATAGGAGGGAAATGAATATTCAAGATGAACTAGGAAAATAATGTTTAAAGGTCACAGTGTGTAAGTAGCTTCTTAAAATACCATTTGTGTATCCATTAGGACTTGGGGGTGGGGGGCGTGTGCATGCTTTGTGCAGAAAGAAGACATAGCCATAAAAGACAGACTCTCTTTCCCGTTCCCGTGACCCATAACTAAGCATACCCTAGTTAGTCTTGTCTTGTAGATTGAAGTTACCATAGATCAAGACAGCCCCAAACTCCAAGGAGTGGGGGAGACGGGAGGAGGGCAGAGATTGAAGGAAAAGTAAATTAGTAAAGCAGAAGGTAGTACTTGTTCATTCTTGGAGATGGTTTGGAACTTTAGGTAGAATAAGGATAGATTTGATCCTAGGGCAATTCTTTAGTGACCAATAACATAAGGCACGTGTATTAGCGTCTTACAAGCTAACAGAGCAGGTGTGTGCGTACTAGGTATTAGCAGGGGATTCCTTCCCTACTGGAGGAACCTTAGGTATAAAAGATAATAAACAACCAGGCAAACTACTTTGCTCCCTAACTGATGTGATCCCACATCCAGTGTGTGTGATGCAGCCCTTCCCTTGGGGAAGCCAGGTGGGACCAGCACCACCTGCACTGTTGTGTGAAGGGCCCACTGCCATTTCTGGGGAAGCTCGTTAGCTGAGCTCTCAGCTTTAGGAGGGAAGCACATGAGGAAGGCGAGAGAGAGCTCACTGGCTGACCATTCTTGTGGAGGGGACAGGGGCACGTCTCTCTCTCACACACACACCACAAGCACACACGCACACACACTTGCTCGCCCTGCACCACCTGTGCTTCCCTGTGGCCGGGGTGTTTTGTTCCACACCATCTGAAATTCCCTCCCATGGTTTGTGTCAAAATGTGTTTGATCTGACTGATTTCAAACACCCCTGAATGTCACGTGCAGATTTCTTATGGGAACAAATAAGTACAAGTTTGCAGTCACATTGTGACAAGTTAAATGTGTGAGCTGGAAGATGCTCTTAGCAGGGAATAAAGAGTCTTTCTGTTTCCTGCCATGGAAACTGACCATGTAGTCTTAACAGTCTTTTGTACAAAATCTACCAACGAGATAACTTCCCCATCTAGTGCTTGCCCTTGAAATTGTCTCTACACACTGAGTATACAATAAAAAATGCTAAAATTCATGTCTGCGTGGCTTCTTCTATCTTCTTTTTCATGAATAAATGTGAACATCAGGCATAAATGTATGAAAGGGGGTGTTTTTTAGACTGGAATTTTCAGAAAACCGAATCAGCACCATCTGTGAATAAATATGCTCTTTAAGGATAAGCAAAAAAACCACAATGAGATACCCCTTCACACCCATCAGCATGGCTACTATCAAAAAACCAGGCAGGATCAAGTGTGGCTGAGGATGTGCACTGATAGTAGGGGTGGAAAATGGTACAGCCTCTGTGAAAAACAGTATGACCATTCCTCCAAAAATTAAAAATGGAATTAGCATTTAATCTTGCAATTTGGAGTATATACTTAAAATAATTGAGGGTGTACATGTAGGGCCTCCCCGGTGGTGCAACGGGTTGAGTACAGCTCTGTCAAGCCGTCTGCAGCCTCCGCAGCGCCGGTTTGATTCCTGGCTGGCCAGGGAGATTCCCAAATGGTGCGGCAGACCTCTCCTGTCTCGCCCGCTGCTCCCCTCATCAATGCTTCCGTTCCGTCTGCCTGTTCTGCTCCCCGCTCTGTCTCTGGTGAATCCTCTCACCCCCCCACCCCAACACACACACCTCTGGCCTGTACCCTAGCTCTTGTATAAAATAAAAAGAATAAATCTTTAAAAAAAAACCACAACAAATTGGTATATGTACCTACAATGGAATATTACTCAGCCTTAAGCAGGAAGGAAATTCTAACACATACAACATCATAGATGAAACTTGAGGACATTGTGCTAAGGGATTGAGTCTCCAAAAGTCAAATAGTATGTGATTCCACTTATATGTGGTACCAAAAATAGTCAGACTCCTATGGACAGGAAGTAGAAGGGTGGCCAGGGGCTGGGGTGGGAGGGGAATGGGGAGCCCTTTTTAATGGGTGTAGAGTTTAAGTTTTCCAAGATGATAGGCATTCTGCAGAGTGTTTACACAACAATGTGAATATGCCTATCACTGCCAAACTGTACACTTAAAAGTGGTGAAGGTGGTAAATTTTCTGTTACATGTATTTTACCATAATTAAAAAAAATAAAAACCAAAAATCATATTAGAAACAGTAATCTAGAGCACAGAATGACGGATGCCATTGATGCCAAGCATGTGTAAAGCCATGCAGCCCCAGGAGAGGGCACGGGGACAGGATACCCCTTGAGTAACCAGCTACCTCTCTTCATTCTTGCAGCCTGGACGTCCCAGGATGCTTCTGTGATTCTGACTCCTCCATGTCGGGCAAAATGCAGCTGAATGTCTTATTCATGAAAACAGGACATAGTCACTGGTAGACAAGGTCAAAGTAGGCAACTGCCCCACTTATATGACAAGGAACTAACTCTTTAAACTTTAGTCCCACCTCTTTTCCCCCCATAAACATAATAGCTTCCTGCAAAGCTCCAAGAGTGACAGAGCGTGTATCAGTTTCCTAGGCCTGCTATAGCAACGTACCAAATTTCTGTGGTGTATGTAAACAACAGAAATGTATTGCCCCACAGTTCTGGAAGCTAGGAGTCCAAGATCAAGGCTTTTGGCAGTTGATTTTCTGTTACATGTATTTTACCGAAGGCTGTGAGGAAGAATCCATGTGCCTCGTCTGGCTTCTTGGGGGTTGCTGGCAGTCCAGTATTTCTTAGCCTATAGAAGCATCACTTCAATCTCTGTCTTCATCTTCATGTATTGTTCTCTGGTGTCAGTATCTGTGTCCAAATATCCCCTTTTATCAAGTCATATTGGGGGGAGCTGTGGTTCACTATTTTCAGTATGACCTCATCTAAACTAACCTCCACACACCCTATTTATGTATTATGCCTCCAAATACTTCATTTTTAATTTATTTTTACACCATTGTTCATTTTTGTATCATGTTTGATTTCTCCCCTCAGGTGTAACCCCCATAAAATTCCCACCCCCAAAATCACCTGTGAACTTTTACCATAGTCCCTTGTGTTCCTCTCTCCAAAATCCCTATTTAATATGTGACATTATGAAGTACTGGGGGTTAGGACTTCAGCATATGAATTTCTGGAAGATGTAGTTTAACCCATACAGAACAGATTCATGCAGGATGCCAACATCCCCTGGGGCAAGGAACTTGCTTTTGGCGCTCAACCTTTCCCGTTCAGTTACTACCTTACCCCTCTAGGTACCACCTCTCTCACCCTTATCTCCTTAAGGGGTGCCTAAGATTATAGCCACTTCACCACCCTCCACAGTCCAGGATTTGAGGTTCATTATCTGCTTTAATTATTTGGGGCCTTGGGTTTCCTTCTTTACTCAATCTGACCCTTTTGGTCATTGAAAATCTTATCTGGGGCCTCCCCTGGTGGCGCAGTGGTTGATGGCTGGGCTGCGAAGCTGCCTACAGCCTGTGCAGTGCCAGTTCGGTCCTAGGCGAGGGTCCCACATGGCGCGCAGACCTCTCCTGCTGCACCCACTGCTCCCCTCAGCAGTTTGTTTCATCAGTCTGCCTGTTCTGTTCTGGCTCTGGTGAATTCTCTCACCGTCCCGTGCTTCTGACTGTACCCAGTGCTTGTATAAATAAATAAATAAATCTTAAAAAAAAAAAAAAAAAGGAAATCTTATCTGTACTTTTACTATTAAGAGAGAAGATAAAACAAGTCTTTAATTCAGATGCAAAGTGTGTAGCAACTAACTTTAAAATTATTTTCTAGATGTGATTTATTTTGGGAACATCTATGAATCTTAATTACTGCTCTCTCCTTGCTATCCAACAAAGGAGCTAGTAGAGTGAGGCCTGAGCAGCTCAGCAAACACCTAAGTGCCCGGATGCAGCTGGCACGAGCTCTGCTAGCAGCTGAGCACAGGGTGGACCAGAGGGTGGCTGGGCCAGCACGTAGGGCTGCTGTGACCATAAGGTGAAGGGCTTGCCTCAGTGTTTTGTCACTGAACCGTCACCACTGTGTGCTTGGGTACATTATTTATGCCCCCACTCATGAAGGATGCCGATTTATAAATGAGGCACAAATTGGTTAATTTTCTTCCCCAAACATGTCAGAGGCAAAACAGAGACTTAGATCTCTGTTTGCCCCTAAGTCTGTTTACTTAGCAAGCAAACCTCCTGTACCATCCCAAACCATATTCCAAAGAGAGCACCTAAAAACACTGCAATGGAGATCAAGATAACACTGCTCCATATAGGTGATTTTTCGGAGGGGGCTGCTAAATTGTGTGTGTGTGTGTGGGGGGGTGGGGGGCTTGCTAAGTGCCCTTTAGGTTGAAAGTTGTTTCAATGTTAAACAAGTTAGAGGTTTTTATAAGCAACCCTCTCTGCTTATTTTATAGTGATAAAACTGAATAGAGTGTTAAGTACTTTTAAATAATGAGTGTGGAAGTTTCCCCCTCTTCCTCTTAAATACCCATTTCTTAAAATATCCTAAACTAATGGGGTAAACCCAGGAAAACATGCAGTTAGAAATGAACTCAAAAAAGAAAGCCCTTGAATGTAACACAGCATGTTAAGGCACACCTTTGAATGTCAGTCTCAGAAGTCCTTCTAATCCTTAAAAATGGTTGGTTTACACTGCACTGGTGACCGCCGATGGGTTTTAACAAGGACACGACCGGAAATATCTCCACTTACTAAAGTTTATTAGGTACAAAGAAATGAATCTGCGGAGGGAGCATCAATAAATATGAAATACAAGTGAAACTCACAGACGACAGTGTGACTGAGAATGGGGGAGAGAGTAGGGGCGCCGTGACTTGCTGCCTCTACATAGGAGTTCATGGTCAAGGGGTTAAATCTTTGTCCTGCCAGAGGAACACGATCAAAGGGCGTGAATCCAGTGATGGTCTGGAGGAGAGATATGGAGCCAGATTCCTGAGATTTTTCCCTAATTGTGATTTTTGGTTTCTTCTCATTTCTTCCCTCTGTCCCTGAACAGTTTTATTTTTAATTTCTATCCCAGGGGTGTGGAACATGAATTTATAAACATCTCATCAGGGCACAGGATCTACTCTGAAGGTGGGATGGCCTCTGCTTGGAGCTTCTAAATCACGATAATTAAAACTCCATAATTATTTTATACAATTGGGAGTTAGAATAGATACGTTAGCATAAAGAAATCCTGACCTTTCAGAACCTTCTAGAACCAATAAAAAAAAGAAAATGTCAGTTATGCCCAGAGCTGATGATCTGCAAATGCTTCTTTTCAATTGATTTAGCTATTTCTGCTGATTTATTCCCCTGGGAAGGGATTTGACCTGGCACAGTCACTTCTGTCTGGAATGTGAATGCAGGACGCCACCTTCATCTTTCCTCTGCAGAGCAGCGAGGCGGAAGCAGTAATATTTATAAAACCCTCCCAGTTGTCACCCTGGGCTTGGTAACTCGGTCTGGGCATGTCACTCAGGTGTGAACACATTCCAAGGGAAACATACTCTTCACTGCACTTCCTCCCTAATTTCCTTTTATCTGCAGCTATTCTGAACATAGCCCAGGGATTACTGTTTCCTTGTTTTCTCTGTTTCTCTGTTACCACCTTGCCCTCCTGGGATGGAGAGTATCTGGGGTGAGATGCAAGAAAACACACACTTCCATTCCCTTGCCAGTGCAAGAAAGACAGTGTGTGAGCACAGTCGCAGTCAGTCCTGACCCTCCACATTCAGGGGGGCTGAATTTGCCCCCCCTACCCCACCAGGAGTGGGAGCTCTCAGATCCCTAAGGTGCTGGTTAGCACAGAGAGGAACTAGGTTTTGCCTGACAGGTGGTTCCTGGCTTCCTAAGGAAGGGGGTAAGAAACCAGATATTTGAGGCAGATATTTCACAATATATTTTGCTATATCTTTTTCATGCCATATTTTTACAGAAATCCTGCATTCAGGAGAAAAAAAGACCTCTGAGATAGAGTTAGTAATTTACTATGAAAAGGAGTTGTGTATATTTCTAACTTGCAAGGAAAATGCCAAAATCTCATAAATCTCACCTCAGCTAGCTGGGCTGGGGCTGGAGGCTCAGAGGGGACAGGAGGAAGTCACGGAGACTTGGGCCCGAGGGGCACTGTAAACAGTAAGAGCATTGGCTACTTGTAGGATCATTCAGTTACAAAAGGGGTCTTGTGGTCAGCACTGGAGGGACCAAGCCCGTCCTTGCCTTTGTTCTGTACTATATTTACATTAGGCAGCAAGAAAAAAAATCCCTGTACTGCAAAAAGGAAGCGAGACTTGGCATCTCGTTCACTGGAGGCTGCGTGGCTTTCAGGGTGTGGGGACACACTACTCTCTGAGCTGCGTCATTATAAGGCATTATTTGGTTTGACTTTGTGGTTGGTGCAATGAGAATATAAAATCATGCCAATAAGAAGCCGTCGTGGATACTATGACTTTGGGATTACCTGCAAACTAAGAGCTCTTCTCAGAATGGTTCAGTATCTAGGAAGGGCCAGCCCGCACGTGTATATACAGTCTTGGAGTGGACTCCCAGTGGGGACAGGGCTCTGTATGTATTGACAGACAAATGTCAAGATGCACTTAAAAAATGGAGAAATGGTATCTTTTCAAAAATTACTTAAAGTCGACTAGAATACTGATTTAAAGCCTGTGCAAACCACGTATTTACAATAAATAAAAGCTCCATGCAGAGCCTGCATGTCAGCTGAATCACACGTTGAGTATGGTGGGTCCAGACACGTCTTCCCAGGGATGCCCATCCTGTACCGCAACCCAGGTGCCCCCAGGGCCTTGGCTTCATCTGTCTTCTCACCGGAGTGTCTTTAGACATAACTGTGGAAACACGACAACATTGCCAGGCGGGGTGAGAAGACTCCTTGCACGTCAACAATCCACCCTCAGCAGAAGGCTGCCAGGGCCGATGGTGCCATCAGGTGTAAGTTGCTGATTTTTTTCCAGGGGGTCATGGGTAAAGAGGGGATGAAATGGGACATGTAGTTGGTGAATGTGGGCCCTCATGGCATATTATAAACATTTATAGCACTGAATACCAGTAGATTCACGTGGCAGAAAGCCCAGGTAATGCAAAGAACTTGCTGGAGATGCTAAGACAAGGCAATGGAGAAAAGAGAAGGGCCCCAGGTCTGCAGCTCAGGGCTCCCACCAGGCACCGATTCCTTGGGACCGTAAAGACGAGAGCTCCTCTGTTTGCCATCTGTATGACCTATTGATTTCTCTGGGCAGTTGTTCCTGGTGCCACAAAGGGAAGATGAATGGAGATGGTATCCAGTTAGACAAAAAGAAGATCTTGACTATGGAATGCCCAAGAGAGACCTTACAATCCATCCTTGACCAGACATTTATGGGCAGGGATAACAAATGCCAATTGTAGGTGATTTGGAGTATGTGTTTGCTAGGAAGTGAAGGACCAGACCCAATTTCAACATGCTTGTCACGTTTGAAGGTGAGGGTGACTCCTGGCCTATAGCTTCTAACATGTCAGGAAAAGCAGTGAGGTAGCGTGGACTTAGCACTGGACAAGAAGTCAGAGGTTTGGGCATGTGACCATGGGTCACCCCTGGATCCTGGTTTTCTCTTCCAAAAAAGTGGCAGGAAATGTATCTCTCTAGTTTATATAACAGGGCTACTAAAGGATCAAATGAGAGAACATATGCAAGTTATCTGAAAAACATAGTCACATAATGTAGGGACCATTGTTAGGATTATTTCTGTATTTTCCTGATCACAGGAATAATGTATTCATTGTAGAAAATTCAGAAGTTTCAGAAATGCATTAGGATGAATGTAAAAATCATTTATAATCTCCCAGAGAGACTGCCTGTCAACAATTCTTTGCATATTCGTCCTGCCTTCTTTTTCCTGTGCACATACACTTCCTCCTTACCTGCTGTTAGGCACTCAGTTTGAACCTGTGATGATGAGAATGGCCTCTGCAACTTTTGAATTAGTCATGGTTAGAAAAGGAGGTGTGTGTGCTAGTCACCTCCCTATTTATGGCACTTGCCTTGAGGATCCATAGACCCCCAGAATGGCCCAAATGAACACTGAAACAGAGCCAGACGAGGACAAAATGTTTTGTTTTCAAAGAAAAAAGGGCCTTTAAAGATGAGACTACGATGCACAGTGAGAGACATGGGAGAGATGTTATCCCCGCCCAGGTGAGGAAACACAGCACCCGCGGCTGGGGGGTGTTTCATCAAAGACTGACTTGTCACACAGGCACCCATCTGGCTTCCCTCCCAGTTCTGTCAATCTCCTCTAACCACCAGGACTCGAACTATGACTAAATTTAACCAAAATAAATTATAATATTGATGGGGAGAAAAAAACCTCAAGGGTGCTATGAGAAATCATGTATTCTCTAGATGAGAGAGAACACTCAACTGAGAATTTTTCTCTCAGGCTTCTCAAATCATCACAGCAAGGAAAGAATGGGAAGTAAATGGGGTGACTGTTGTTGATCCATCCCAAAGGGGTACTGAGTTGCCAACTTTTGGAATTGGTGGTGATTCCAGAGGAGCCCCCCTTTCACTCTTTGGATTTTGAAGCTGTGACTGTTTCATTCTGACTAGAAACAAAGTACACCAAAATGGCTTTCCCTGAGGAAAAAAAGAGTCTGAGGAGAAATGTTAAGTGGCTAAAGGAGAACGCGTACACTCAACAGGTCTGTGCTCCCTGAGGAGATTCCTGGTTTTACATTCAGACACCCGAGGGACACATTACCTGAGAATTTCTGCCTTTGATGTCATCGGAGCTGGGCCCAGTGGCCTCGGCTTGGAGCCAGGGACCAGGTGCACGGCCTGAAAGAAATAGGAACACTCTCACTATCGACTGGCTGTGGACTGGCTGTGCACACGTCACGAGAAATTCTGGCTGGACAGGCAATGAGAGGCACAGCACAGAGCCCAGGGGAACATGAGCCCGTCAACCTGAGACCATCAGGCTCCTGGCCTGAGGCCATTTCTTTCCACCCACCATTTCTGTGTCACAGGCGGTGGCTACACAGGTGTGGGCACATCACTGGGGAGGAGCACAGGTCTGAGGGCTGTCACCTAAACACGTGTGGGAGCTTCTTAGCGCAAAACATAACCGTCTCCAGACACCTCACTTAATCCAGCACCCAGATATGCCAACCACCCTGCAGGAGCTGGTTAAAAAGGAGTGAAGAATAAGTAACTGCTGACTTAAATTAGGCTCTGTCCATGATGAGTCAACTCCTTCCCTAATCTGTTAAAATATTACACAGGTTACATTTAAGTATATTCTCACTAAAAATGTAAAGAAAAATACCAGATGGTCTCACTCATAGCAGGAATTTAGAAAACCTAAATAAGGGACCAGGAAAAAGACTAATTATAATAAAGTAAAAATCAAAATCAACAAGCAACTATAAACCAGAGATGCACTGTGGAGGGGGGAGGAGGGAGTGGGATCAAAGCAAGTGGGGGTGGGAATTGTATGGGGACTATAACCAAGATTAAAATGCATTCATTGTGCAAAAATGAAAAATGATGTAAAAAACATATAAAATAAAAATAATAATAATAAAAAAATAACAACAACAACAAAAACACAGAAGACCACAGGGGATAATCACTGCACCTAATGTGCCTCTTCTCTGTCTATCCTTCCTTCTAACCCCCATTCCATACCCCTCCAACCTCATCACCTGTTAATAAATACCACTTGTGTTTATTCACCTAGATGTTTTCTTTTTGACATTTACTTACATCTATGTATGTATACTCAGATATGTGCTTTGGTTGGTAGAGCCAAGTTTTAAATCCACATCCTCACGCATCCCAGAACCTTTCCTGAGTGAGGTCATCATGAGGTCCCTGGAGTCTCTTTCTCTGTTGCATTTGGCACTAGACTTTTCTGCCCTGTCTCTGTCATGAGCTAGTTATTCAAGAACTTCTTCCCCAAACCCTCTGAACAATTAGGACTGCTGTGTTACTTATAAAGCAAAATGAAAGCAGAAATATTCATCAGAGATTATTTATAACTGAAAAACTGAAACCACCTGTGTTCAACAAAAGTGTTGAGGAAATCTAGGGTTCACTATCATATGATAGAGTACTAAACAGTTGTTTGAAGGTTTATAAAAACTCAATTTGGGTTGTTTGTAATGTAGAAGAACAAAGCTGGCTAGAAATTATATAAATAGAATGACCTCAAGTACTCTCAAAATTCATTAAAAATGGCAATAATATATATATATATGGAATTGTTTCCTCCCAGATGATAGGATTACTATTTTTTTAAACCTCAACAAATACTTTACAAGTTTTCTACTATGAACATATAAATCATCTTAAGAATATTTTAAAATAAGGGACAGTTTTTAAAATGAACTACCACATAGAAGTAACTTATAAAACTTTGACTTATAAAGCATTAACCAAGTGGGCACAGTAATCTTCATTAAAACACTTTTAAAATTAATGAGTGCAATTGCTCTAGGATAAAGATATTTTCAGGCAAATGACATGAGGAGTGGTGAATTTTCTGTAAGTTTATTACTTATGTAAAAAGACACTGAAATATCTAATTCCATGTGGCAGTATGGCCTTGAAATTACTGTTCTTAGATTTAAGAAAGTTCTGTCTGCTACACAGAAGACCCCCTTTAGGCTAGAATTTCCTAATTGGGTTTTGTTAACATTTTGGGCTGGGTAATTCTTTGTAGTGGGGCTGCGTGTGTTGCAGGCTATTTAAGAGCTAGTAGTACACCCCCAAGTCCCAGACTCTTTGTAACAACAGAAAGGTCTCCAGACAATGCCAAATGTCCCCTGAGGGGCAAATCTGCCCCTATTTGAGAGTTACTAGGCAATAAAATAGGCATCTTCATAGGTAAGCAGTTCCTACTAGTGTTCAGAAATATGACTGGAAATCACTGCTGAGATAAAGGAGAATAATTTCTTCATAAAATAGAAAGGCAAGCTCTGCATCTTGATATTGAAGAAATTTCACTGCTTCTAGAAGTGAATAGCCAAGATTTAGCGAGGGTTACCCAGAGTGATTTTAATCCAATTATCTCCTTAGAAAATTTTCCTTTACGAGATGCCAAGACAATCTCTTAGAATTCAAAAAGTATTTTTGAATATGTTGAAATAGTTCTCACATGGAATGGCTTCCCATAGAAGAGCATTCCAGATCACTAAAAATAGTGCAAGGTTAGTAAGAAATCTCTCTTGCACTTCTGCCCAATCACAGGTACCTATTGCATTCACAGTGCAGCCAGGTGATGCCATGGAGCAAACCTGACATGAGAGCCTGCTCTGAACCAAGGCGCCTGAAGAAGAAACAGAGAGAGGCCCGGGAGCTAAGTTGGCTTCCAACTTTATTTTTCTGTCATTTGTAAGCCAAGTCAGTCCTGTACCTTTTCCCAGGAACAAAGATATTTTCATGTCAGAAAAGAAAGTCTACTCTGCAGCCAAGAGGATAAATTCTTCAGGACTTGGAGAATGTCCAAAAAGGAATCACAGACTTGGCCCCCATTAAAGCTGGGTCTCTTTGTGAGTCTCCCAGAACTCCTGCCTGCCTTGGAGTGCAGTCCCTGTGGGCTGTGGCGGGTCTGGGTGAGGAGACAGATGGACTCTGAGAAGGACCAGCACTGTTGCCTCTGGGTCAGCCTTTGGGCTTACACCTGGGTCGCTCCAAGATGTCTTCCATAAACATAAGATGGAGAGCAGCAAGGTAAGAAGCAGAGAGCACCAGACTTGGAGCAAAGAACCTCAGCTCCAGCCTCAGCTTTGCCAACCAGCTGTGACCAAGGCAGGCCATGCTACTTCTGCTTTGGTTTCTTCAGCTGTACATGAAAGGGTTGGGCTGGGTAACCTCAAAGGACCTTCCAACTCTAACACCGAGAGGCCTCTCATAATCTCTTAGTACAGGAAATAACAGGTTTCCTGGAAATGGTGATTCGAGTAGCTGCCAGAACTAAACCTTAGAAATTACATATCAGGCCTTCCTTCTCCTTCTCCACGGTCACTGTCAGAGTTGAGGGTGGTATGAGAACCCACATTCCTTCCTCAGCCACATCCTACTTGCAGAGAACTCAGAGAGGGCATCTACAGACCACGGGCCCTCCCCTCCCCTCCACGGATGCTCAGACTAGCATATTTTCTCCCCCAGTCATTTGGAATTTTATAATTAGTTTTTGTGACCATTAAAAGTAATTTATACTTGGGCCTCCCTGGTGGCACAGCCGTTGAGCGCTGGGTTGCGAAGCTGCCCGCAGCCTCTGCAGCGCCAGTTCGATCCCCGGCTGCCGGGCAAGGGTCCCACATGGCGCGCAGACCTCTCTTGCCGCCTGCTGCTCCCCTCAGCAGTGTACTTTGTTACTCTGCCCGTTCTGCTCTCCGCTCTGACTCTGATGAAATCTCTCACTGTCTCGTGCTTCTGACTATACTCAGTGCTTATATAAATAAACAAATAAATCTTAAAAAAAAAGTAATTTATGCTTATTATAGAAAACCTGGACATAATAATAAAGCATAAATAAGATAAAAATCACTTGGCATCCCATGTCTGAGTGACAACCATGTTTACTACTTTAGTTGGATGTATTTCTACCCCTTCTCTATTCTCTTTATTTGGTCAGCTTTTCTGTCCCCTTTGCCACATAGATTCACAAAATCATTTTCCCCCACAAAATTCAGTGTACTAAATTTTAGTGTACTTTTCTTTATACTTCTCAAGGTAACATTAACATTTCCCTATGTCACTAAATACTCAACATGTTTTTAATAGTTGCATAACATTTCATTCTGCCTTAATTTATTTAACATGATGGTTGGAGATGTGTGTTGCTTCCAAATTTTTTACCTGGTAAGCAATATATATATATAAAAAATATATATGGACATTTTGCTTATTAATTCACTGGAGGATTCTGAGCGTTGGGAGCCCTGACTGGACTGGGCCTTAGATGGATGACTCTGGCTGCGGTGCAGACCAGAGCAGCCTGCTGGAAGGTTTCTGCAGAATCCAGATGAGCAATGACAGTGGCTTAGGCCAGAGTGACAGTGGCAGCAGAGGGCAGAGAGATCACATTGGGGATGCTTTTCAAAGGAAGAGGCTCCAGAGTTAATTGATAAATTGGATGCGGAACAGAAGAGAAAGAAAGATGTCAAGGGTGACTCCAAGGTTTGAAGTGTAACAAAAATGCAGGAGCAGTGAGCATGTGGTGGAAGGAGAGAGGAGGCAGGACTGTCAGAAAAATCTAAGTGAAGAATTGCTTCAGGATCAGAAGGAGGGAAGGGAGGAGCACAGGGGACTGTGGTGATGATGCACAGGTAATTGATGGAGGAAATTCTGTGGACCTATCCCTGGGCGGGGAAAAGCAAATGTTGTTTAAAAAGGAACAGTGATATAAAAATATAAATAAATTAAAAAAAAAAACAAAGCATGAAACAACAACAACAACAACAACAAAAAAAATAGAAGGAAAAAAAAAAAGGCGGCAGAATGGACTGTGGCTAAGACCCCTTAATCTGGCAGTGTGGGTCCATGGCACCTAAGAGGACAGGAGGAGAGGCCGTGGAGGCTGCTGACTGTAAAGAGGAGTGGAGAAATGGCCCAGGGGTCAGAGGAGGTCAAGGGGGGTATTTTATAGATATTGCAGTATTTTTGTGGGTTAGAAATAACCTGGAAAGACAAGGAATGTTGGAAAGAGACCGGGATGCTGGAAGCAGCTTATGAAGGGGTGTAGCTGATGGTACTGATCATGCTGAGGTAAGCAGCCTGGGGCAGAGATTCTTTCTTCTCAGCTACCCTCATGAAAGTAGAAATAAAGA